GAGACAGGAAGATGGCAAGTTCAAAGCCAGCCTCAGCAAAAGTGAGGTGCAACGCAACTCAGTGAGACCCTGTCTCAAAATAAATATACAAAAAAAATAGAGTTGGGGATCTGGCTCAGTGTTAAAGTGGCCCCAAGTTCAATCCCCTGTATCCGTCTCCACAAAAGAAGATGAAACATAAAAATCTTACAGCTACACCTGGTGCAATATTTCTGTAACCATGTGGAACCAGTTAATTTTTTAGTATATTTTAAACTTACCCAGAAAATCTGGGAAACAATTGTAGGTGTAGGGATTTACAGATCATTAAACATCTTTGTAAGTAAATAGATTTACACAGTAGGACAATTCAGATTATACATAATTTCTCTTATATAGTTATTCTCTTATGCTTAATGGCAACCATAGAAGACCATAAACATAGAATGTTAAGTTTTGTTCATTTTTAAATACAACAAAATGCTGATTGATAATGGATTAATGGATAAGGTAATGGTGTTGAATTTTCTAGGTTATTTCAAGTCCCTAATATAATGAACGATACCCAAGATTTCCATTTACTGTGAAATAATCTGCCTCAGTGAAGATATGAAAAATAAATGTAATGAGACATTGACATTCAAATGGAATGTACTTCTCATCTAGTCTGCATACAAAATAGTAGTGATTTAGTATAGAGAATGTAATACAGTGTTTATAAAAAGAATTCCTGGGTATTTTTTTTTTTTTTAAGTAGAAAGATAAAGGAACTTAAGGTTCTCTCATTTGAACATCAAAGGATTTACCCCTAAGGTTTGCAGGACAGAATGCAGGCAATGCCCTCATCCTTTTTATCTTCAAATATCACAGTTACTTTCAGAACCCTTTTGAAGGGTTGCTAGTTTTGCTAAGGTGCAACAGCCCCTCTTCCAGAAGCAAAGGTTTGCATCAAGGATAAAATGACTTTTTACTTTTCATAACAAAGCAAAAACTTTTTTCCCCTCATAGGACACTTATTAGAGATAAAAACATAGAAATATTGTACTTAATAGTACATACTAGAGATATCAAGCAAGAACTCACTGTTCAAGGTGCACAGAACCTTATACTGTAGCACTAAATTTTGGCAAACAGGACCAGCTTTAGGGAGCCTCACATACCAGCCATGAAGTTGTGAGCTACAACCTCAAAGCTACCTCACCAACCAGTTGGTATTAGGAAGATTTATGGAAAAGGAAGCTGGCGGGGGCGGCTTGTTATAGGAATGAGAAGGGGGAATCTTAAGGTTCATCTGTTTACACAGATGGACATTAGTCTCTTCATGTGTCACTTATTTCCTTTGTGAGGATTATGATGTTCTGCATGAGAGATTTTAGGCTCATGATGTCAAAATTTCTTGATCAGATGAACTGGCCTCTTCGCCACGTGTTAATTTGTGAAAAGTCAGTTCTGAACCATCCCTGAGTGGATTTTGAAGGCTTGTCTTGAAAGACTACTCAAGTACTTTTGTTATTTAAAACATTTATGGCTAGGTATGTCCAAGCTTTAACCTATTTCAATAGGAAAGATTTGAGAAAGATTGATTATCTGGGGGCAAATCACGATATAAGTGTAGTTGTTTCTTTTTTTCTTTCTTTCTTTTTGTCACAAAACTAAATAAAGAAAATTTATTATTAAAGATTATTTTGTATTATATTTTAGTTGGTTAATATACACAGTATAATAACATTTCTTATTATTATCAAAAGCCCCTAATTCCTTGGAACTACGCATATATGTACATATGCCTAGACATTCTTGAAGAGAAAGGATTGGAATATATCAAACTCAGTGTCTCTTAGTAGTAGAAATTGATTGCTATCATTTTATTAAGAACTATTATGGAGGAAATGGAATTCTTTCTAGTTCTTTTTGCAACTTTTTAAAATGGTATTTGCATTTTCTCTAATTTGGGGGACAATGAGAAAACTCTCTACAAAGGCTTATGTTATCCTGAATTGTTAGTCAAAAGAAAAGTCATTTCTTAAACAATACTTGGGAGACTGGAATATTAAATGAACTTTACCTGTTCTACCTAAAAATCAACTAGCTAAGCTATGGAATGAAACCAAGTGCCCTTCAACAGATGAATGAATAAATAAAATGTGATATATATACACAATGGAATATTACTCAGCCATAAGATGAATGAAATTATGTCTTTGCCAGTAAATGCATGGAACATGGAACGGGGGAGTATCATGTTAATGAAATAAGCCAGTCCCTCAAAACTAAAGGATAAATGTTCTCTCTGATATGTGGGTGCTAACACATAATAAGGGGGAGGGGAGGGAAGAATAGAAGTTCATTGGATTAAACAAAGGGAAATGAAGAGAAGAGGAGGGATGGGAATAAGAGAGAGAATAGAAGGGATCAGACATAACTTTCCTATAATCATATATAAATACACAATGATTGAAACTCCACATCTTATATAACCACAAGAATGGTATTCTAATTAGAATAAATTATATTCCATATATGTAAAAATGCCAAAATATATCCTATTGTCATGTATATATAAAAAGAACAAATAAAAATGTGTTGAATTAAAAAAAAAAAAAGAAAAAAATCAACCAAATGAGTTCTCTTTCATGTTGTTTTTTAAATACTATCTAGATTGGATGAAAATATCTGGAAGAGGTTGTTTTTAACTTTTTTTTTTTTAATATTATCTAGACTGGGTAAAAATATCTATCTTTTGAAGTATTGCCAAGTTGGCATTTTATCTGGGTTTAGTTTAAAATGAAAAAAAATATGACAGAGCTTTTCCTCAATCTTGTTTTATTCTCAAAATTAGAAAATATACTCATTTGGTTACAGAACAAATAGAAGTCAGTCTGGGACTTTTCAATGAGATCATGAATTATGTTCTGATTCCTTTCTTCTCTTCCCATCCTCACATTCTCACTGCATCCATACAATATTCTAGAAAACCCTAATGCTGTAGTGATCTTGAAGGAAGTTTTCAAAATGTTGCTATCAGAGCATAACAGTTGCCTCTGAGGTAAATGAACAGCTAGTGTTTAGAGATCATCAAAGACTGGAAAACTGTTTCCCATTTCCAAAATATATATATATGTCATAGGAAAAAGGAAATAGGAAAGGCTTTCACAGTTTCATGCTATGTTCTCTACAATGGAAAGGTAAGCTTGAGGGTGAAATTTTATCTTCAACTTCTCTTTTATATCCATTTATTTGCTTCAATATTCATTTATCAAACATGTATTAAGCAGGCTTACGCTCTTAATGCTGCGGTTGATGAGGTGTTTGTGTAATGGGAAATAACACAGGGTTAAGGAAAGAATGCCTTTCAAACATTAACACACTTTTATAATGGGCTCTCATCTACAGATGACTGGCCATACTGAATCTCAGTCTTCTCATTTGTAAAATAAAAATTTAAAAAATTGCATGTTGCAATGAGGATAAATTTTTAAAAAAAGGAAAAAGGGATTTGGAGCCTGAATGAGGAATATGCTATGTTAAAAATTATGGATTTTATTTTTCTGGAAATGTCAGATGGCAGAAGTATTTGAAAAGGCACTGGTGTTTACATTTAGTTTGAGATCCATGGCAGAATGGCAGGTTAGAAAAGTAAATCAATATACTTCCAAAGCTCCATGCGATGCATCATAAAACCAAGCATATGCATGTGTGTTAGATTACCCAATAGTGTTTTAAGTATCCTTGCCACTGCTCCACTTCATTATGGCAGAAGTGATTTTCAAACTTATTTTTTTCTACAGAACCCTCTGTTTAGATGAAATCTTAGCCAGGAGCATAAACAAATGAAACAGATAAAAGCAGAGTGATTCTGTTGAAGATGAGAGTAAATCAGAGGTTTTTCAGCTGCAAAGTACTAAGTACTGAATTCATCCTGTGAATTTCCATAGTACTCATTGTGTACATCTCTCACTTAATGCAAAATTGTATACACCCTTAAATTTTATTTCCATTTGTCACTACCATATTGCTTCAACTGAATTGTGTGCTCTCTGTGACAGGGACTACAGTCTCTGAAGCTTTTCATTACCCTCAATGTGTCCAATTGTATGGTTCACATAATGGCAGTTTTCCATTATGAATATGTTTCCAAATTATTTAAGTATGATGGTGAATGTATAGGTATAAAAATGGAAATTTAATTTGCTTTTATTGAATGCATTTCTTCATGGTCCTTTGAGCCACACATTTGAGAAGAAAAAAAAGAAACCACAAAATGATTTATGGGCATATCAAAGTAATGCACATCAGAAAAATGAAATGTTTGTAAATTTATCAAATAAATATCTCAGGAAAATAATGTATAAAACCATCCTTGATATTTTACATATAATGCAGGCACACAAATTTTTTAAAAATATAATAGGTGTTCTTTTTGGATTATGGCTTAAATAAAATGCTATGTTTTTACTTAATGAACTGGTTTACTTTTCATTGTGGATAAAGCTGACTTACTGTCAAATCCAACCAATTTGTAGCACTGTAGAGAGAGGAGGCTGGTACAACTGACTTAGCACAAGTAATCAGGGCCTGAACTAAGAAGATGGCAGGGAGGATGAAGAAAAAGAAGCAAGAGATGCTTTCTTCCTATTCTTAGCTCCAGATTGCATTACATTTACACTACACTACACACACACACACACACCAAAAATAAATAAATATGAACAAACTAAAATGGGAAATTGCCACAGTTCTTTCTATGCATTCAATTTGGTGAACTATTAAGTCTTTCAGCAAAAGTATCTTGTTCTTACTTTAATTACATAGATCCAGTTTATAGTAAACATGAAGAATGTTTAAGGGTCCATTCTGAATTCTGAATAATTATCACAGAGGAATGTGGATGGATATAATATGTACATATATTAAGCTGATGTCTTAATGTTGAGACTCTCTCCTCAATAATTCATTACATTATAACCTTTTTGTTTCCATTTGACTTTTTATTACTCAAAGAAGCTTCATTTTTTTTTTTTTTATTTAGCTGTCTGACTCTGTGCTTGTGCCTCCAACACTTTCACGATTTTCTGTTCCTCAATAAGGAAAGCACGCTTGATCCTGTTATAAACACATTTAGCACACGTGAAACCACCATAGGTCCTGATGACCTGTTTTTTTTTTTTCGTTGTTGTTTTACATAATCTCATAAGAACTTTAGGTCTCACAACATGAACCACTTTAAGTCTGCCTGGGCACATACCACACGCAGATTTTGGTGCTTTCCCAACCTTATTTGTATAAAGGTAAACAATTCTATTGCCAGGGGTTTGAGACAGCCTAGTTTTTTTAGAGGCTGTGTTACAGGAAAGCCTATGACAGTATGTCAAATGCTGAACCATTCTGTGTGCCTCCAAACACCATTCCTGGAAGAGCAATATAGTAGTGTTAAGGTGGGGCTTTGGGAAATGATTAATTCATGACGGCATGGGATTAATCCTCATGGGATTAATGCATGTATAAGATAGGTTGAAGTAAGCTGTATTGACTGCTTCCACCCTGTGAGGGTGCAACAAGCCACTGATGATGGGGAAAGGGCTTACCAGACACCAAATTTACTAATGCCTTTATCTTGGACCTCCCAGCACTTCCTAGCTTGTCTAGGAATTGGAGAAGTAATTGGAGAAGTAATCAAATATATGGAATGTTTAAAGGCTTCCCAAATAATTGTACAATGTAACTTGGAAAATTTCTTTAAGTATCTTTTGAAAAGTTTCCCTGGAAAAGAGATAGAAATTAAGATCATTCTATGTATATTTCAAATTTTATTTATGCCAGTTAGCATCTTATTGGTGCTCTATTTTATTCATAAATGCTAATTATAATCTTGAGCTATAACAACTTTTCAAATGTTTTCAATATTTATGTAAACTTTCAATGATGTCTTTTTTTTTTTTTTGTACCAGGGATTAAACTCAGAGGCACCTTATCTTCGAGCCATATTCCCAGCCCTTTTTTGTAATTTATTTAGAGACAGGGTTTTGCTGAGTTGCTTAGGGCATCACTAAGTTGCTGAGTCTGGCTTTGAACTTGCCATCCTCCTGCCTCAGCCTTCTGAGCTGCTGGGGTTACAGGCGTGCACCACTGCACCTGGCTTAATGATGTCTTAGTGACATAGTTAGGGTACATCATCTTCAAGATGCTGCTACAGTGGCTGGGGATGTAGCTCAGGGGCCAGACACTTGCCTCACATGACCAAGGACCTAGGTTCAATCTTCAGTACCTGAAAAAAAAAAAAGAAAGAAAGAAAGAAAAAAGATAGTATAGTGACTTGTATTGCTTCCTTCAGTAGGCTAAAGTACACAAATATGATTTGGATATATTTAAAGTATGTACATTTTTTGAGTGATCTTTTGTCTTCATACGTAATATGTGTATTGAAATTATTCTTTTTTCTTAAGTACTTTGTGGAATAATTTAAAGTCAGAAAGTACATTTATAGCAGCTGGATAAACATTTCAGAAGTTCCTTGCTCAAGATAATTTAGGGCAAGTCATATAAGATATTTACTGGCCTGAATAGCAAATAATTTACAAGAGTCCTTTTGTATCACTTAGAAATTTAAAGATTAAACAGCCAAGACATTTACACCTTTCTTAAAATGAAAATAAATATCAAGGTTTACGTTTGGAATCAAAAGTTTCAAAGATATTGTAACAGTTTCTTTAAAAAAAATATGAAAGCCATACAACATGGTTCAAGTATTGAGGCCAGTATGAAGCTGAAAGTGTTGGTGCACACCTGTAATCTCAGCAACTCGAGAAGCTGAGGCAGGAGGATCTCAAGTTCAAGGCCAACCTCAGCAACTTAGCTAGGCCATAAGCAATTTATAAGACCCTCTCTCAAAATAAAATTAAAAATGCAGAGATGTGGCAAAGTGGTCAGTGGTAAAGTGCCTTTGGGTTAAATACCCCTTAACAAGAGAGAGAGAGAGAGAGAGAGAGAGAGAGAGAGAGAGAGAGAGAGAGAGAGAGAGAGAGGGAGGGGATAAATTTGGTTTTGCAAAAAAGATTATGTCTTTGTAAGTTCTTGATAGTAAATTCCAAGTTTCCTTTATAAAATGAAATAGTCATGGAGAGAACAAAGCATAAGAGAACAATTAATACATACAATACACTGTCTTGGTATAGAAAGTTAAAAAGTACCATCTGTTGGAAATGAAACTTAGAGCTATCAAAGCTTAAAAAGCTTGGCCCACTTGTTACACTTCTAAAAATGTGTTCTATAGGTATATTTTCTATATACTGACAAATATATAAGGATTCCATTGAAACACTACCTGCAATGATTTTTGTTTTTTAAAAAAATGAAGCAGCTTAAATAAACAATCAGGAACTTGTAAAATAAAATGTACTGTAACTCTGTGATGGAATACTATGTGATTACAAAAAAATATATAGTAATGACCTTACAACATTAATATCATCATTAGTTGAACTCATCCTATATGTATTAAAGGAAGTAGCATGAGGCAGTTTTGAGGAGAGTACTCTGGCGTCTTGCTGACTAGGATAAAACATCATTCACATAAGTTCTGAATTCTGTGAGCCTCAGCTTCCTCTTCCACAATGGGTTTAACTATAATCAATGAATAGGTTAAACAGAAGATTAAAGGAGGAGTCTACTCAGCATATACTCAATAAGTATCAGTTATTATTATTGATAAAAATCTCTTGTTATCTTTACATTTACAATGCAGATAAGGGAGCATTTTTATCACCATTTTAATGTATGAAAGACAAAGTTAGGTATCACAAGGTCACTTTGATTGATAAGCAACTTAAATAATTGATATATTCATCCTTTCAACAATATTTATCAAGAATCTACTTAAAACCAATGGCCATGGAGTATATATGGCAGTGAATTAAATCTAAAAATCTTTGTTATTCCTGGAGCTCATATTTTGGTAGGAAGGGTATACAATAAACACATATAAAATGTCAAGTAGAGAAGTGATACACGCTATCCAGAAAAGTGAAGTAGGGTCAGTTTATAGAGTGATGGGTGATAATGTGTCTTTAAGGAACAGAGGACTATGTTTAAAAGGGTGTTTGTTGGCAAGTGAGAAGGGACCAGGACAAGGGTTGATGCAGATCATGTGGATGGAGAAAGGATCTCCAGAGCCTAGCCTTTACAAGAGTAAAGCCCAGCGTGAGAATGTGCTCAGCACGATGAGCTCTAGCTGGGTGAGTCCACAGTCTGAAGGTGATTTGGAAAGATGTCTAAGAGACAAACGATCAAGTGAAAGAGCATGCTATAAAAGGTATAGATCATTTCATTTTTGTTGTAATTAGATTTTATGTTAAAATCTATCCCTACATTTATATTTCAATGGCTGCAAATGCTTTTGGATGGACAGTGCAGATTATGTTATTACCCTTGAAATTCCTGACATCCTTGGCTTCGGTTGCTGACACCCTGTTGCATGTGGCCCAGACATTTGCCCTCACCAGTGCTCCTGGGCTGCTCCAGGTGATGTCTCACAACTCACTTGTACTTCTTTTCAAATTCAATTGATCTCCCTCATCTGCTGTTCTCAATAAATATTACTCATCTCAGGCATTTGACAAATGCCTTTTAATACTCAGGACAAGCTGTGCTTAATTTTCTAGTATTGATAGGGACATATCTCCCGCCACTTTATGTTGTTTTCTTTTTATAAGGGGCACTGTGTGAGAGTTACTAGGGTCCTTGGGCTTAGGTGGAACTGATCTTTTTGTTTTACAAGCAGTGCTTTTTTGTATATGGTATGAACCTACTCAGGATGCATACATGCCACATAGGATGAATTAGGGATGGCGTCCTGCCTTCTATTTACCCTCTGCTGTTCTCTTTCAAGTTCACTACATTTCTTTCTGTCTTTAAAATCCTAAATTGCAAAGAATTTTCTTCTCAGCAAGATCATAAACATCATGAAAATCAGAGAAAACATCTCTCTATATATATTATGATAAGATTAAAGTAGATATTTGAATAATTTTGTGATCAAAATTATTCATAAATGTATTTCCCTTTTGTATAACCAACTGTATTTCCCTAAAATTATGCAAAAATTCCACAGCATCTTACAGTATGCATTGACAATAGGAATAGTCTTTACTGAGGAACTTGGCACCTGCTTTAGTCAGCTATTTTGCTGCTATGACTAAAAGACCCAACCAGAACAACTGTAAAGGAAGCAAAGTTTATTTGGGGGCTCACAGTTTTAGAGGTTTCAGTCCATGGACAGCAGACTTCATTCCTCGGGGCTGGAGTTGAAGATGAACATCATGGTGGAGTGTGTGGCAGAGGGTAGCACCTCACATATTGATTAGGAAGCAGAGAGAGAAAGACTTCATGCTCTGGATACAAAATATACACCCCATAGCCATGCCGCCTAAGGAACCACTTAGTCTGGCCATACCCCACCTGCCTCCAGTTACCACTCAGTTAATCCCATAAGGGTTTAATTCACTGATTAGGATAAGGGTATAACTCACTCATTTCTCTTTCAAACCCTCTTGCATTATCTCACATGTGAGCTTTTGCGGGGACACCTCACATCCAGACCATAACAGCACCCAAGATTCTTAAAGATATATGCTCTCTGATTCTCAATATCATCACATAGCCCTCATAGCAGTGTTCTCTAAAGAATATATGTGTCTACTCTATAGGAAAAGGATGTCATCTTTCTATTTTTCTCCTTCCTGATAAAGTGAAAAATAATCTGCTGAAGGAGGTGCCAGGCAGCCTGGATGGAGGCACCAAATGCAAGCATCATTGGTAAGGAGTAATTGTGGCTGCTCCTGAACAGGGAGAAAAGGCCATTTGTCCCATGAGAAACTCAATCGTGATGCCTCCTGTTTTGCTGGAATGTGGCATAAGTGGGTGGGAAGATAGGGTTTCCAAATTGCTTGGTGTTCAGTCAACAGGGCATGAGTTTCCAGGGTGATTTTTCAGACAGATCTGCCTGTCTCGCCAGTTTTCTTCAGTTTCTATGATGGCTCAGCACTCTTCTCTGCTATAAATAGTCCAAAAGATTGAATGGAATAAAATCAGCAGACAAGGAGGTCTGAATAAATTTTTCTAGAATAGAAATTTTTAACCTTTCAGTAATTGTGGCTGTCATTAAGAATCTGACGAAAACTTTAGATATAATCCTTGAAAAGGGAATTTGGACAAATTTAACAAATCTGCCACATTGTGCAATATGAGGGGGAGGCATTCACATGGAAGTTTACAAATGACCTCTACCATAGGTGAGAATAAAATGCTCTGCAGTCCATTTTCAAAATGTAGTACTAAGCCTTAATTAGGATATAAGATCCAATTGTAGGGACTTGGGTTGTGGCTCATC